AAATTCAATACCAAAATACACTCCCTTAAATCCCTCTTAAAAAGCAAATGTCCCATGTTTCACGGGACGGATGGAGTATTATGTATCCTTATATAATCTAATATGTGTCCTCTTTTTTATTTTAGGACACTATATTTATGTCCTAAAAATGATATGAGAATAGTCTTAAATCAATAGATGACACATTCATAGTTTCAAATTCATGTCCTCTATTCGCTATTAGAACACAAATGTTATGTTCTAACAAATATAAGAATCCTTCATATAATCACTGTAATTGTCATTCTAATCAACAAATATAGTACAAGGGTTTTAATTTTACAAACTAGACCAAAATGCCAATGTAGTTCAAAGTTTTGACACAAATCCAAGTGATAGAGCGAGATAGAAAAGCAAAATTGATTTCCATGATGCCACAAAGCTTGACTGGAAGGCCCTTGGACTTTGAAACTCCTTTGATAAGCGTCTCTACGAGATATCATAGCCAATTGTTCACCCATGGGATGATGTATCTACTCCCTGCCATTCGAAAATATCTAAGTAAAATAAAATAAAATAAATACAAACTTTTGTGCAATACTCATATATTAAATGAATTTTTGCCCCCCCCCCCATGAAATCTTCCCTGGCTCCGCCACTGGCGTTAATGCTAATCGATCAATAACACTTATCCCAAACAGGTCTTATATGAACCTAATACTCTGTATAATAAGATCTTAAAAGCTCAAAACACATATCAAAGATGGTAATGCAAAAAGAGTTTGAGAAAATCCATATTTATAGTAGGAAAGAAAGTTGGCGTAGCAACAATTACCATTAATTAAGAAACATGTTCCTCTTTCCTCTCTATTGTTTTGGTTATTATTAAAAAAATATTAACGTATTTAAATAGATATAGAAACTTTTTTAATGTTCATACAAAAATAGTAAATTTTTAATAAAAATGGAAACATATTTCCCGTTACCATTAACTATTAATTAATGAAATCCAAAATTATCATAGCAAAACTTACCATTAACTGCGTAGCATTTAAATAAAAATGGAAAAATATTCACCTTTTCGAATTACTATTTTCGATGTTATTAAAAACAAAACATATTATTGTATTTAAATAAAAACAAAAACATTTTCAGTGCTCATACGAAAACATAATTTTTTAATAAAAATATAAACATATTCTCATTTATCACTTACCATTAATTGACATAGCATTTAAATAAATATGGAAACATATTCCCCTTCCCACCTTATTGTTTCGTTGTTATTAAAAACATATTGGTGTATTTAAATAAAAATGGAAACATTTTTATTACTCATACACATAAAATTCTCCATTACTATTAATTATTCATTAATTACTATGCATTAGTTAGTACTTCTATAAAATTCTCCATTTTTAATTCTCATACAAAGGTCCCCTTAACATATTCCATTTACCATTAATTATGGACTACTCCCTCCGTCCCGGAGTATTCGTCCAGTTTTGACTTTTGGAACTGTTCATCTAAGACTTTGACTCATCAAACTTTCTCAATGTGTAAGCCTAAATATAGTCATGTGTGATCTTGTTTGATTTGTCTTAACATATAGATTATTAATATATAATTTCTATAATTTTTTAATATACAAATTACAAGATAAAATGGATTAATTAATGCTAACTAAATTTAATGCATACACATACATATAATAAGTTAGACGCACAACATTCCCATATAGTACGTTTAAATATGGGTGGGAAAAATTAACCTCTTTTTAAATATAGTACAAATAATTTATGAATTTCGGTGTTCCTTTATTATTCGGTAATAATTAATTACCGTACTATTAACATTTATTTTAACCATCCTACTTACCTTATTTATTGGTAATAATAATCAAGAATCAATTACCGTAATGTTAATCAAAGTGGTAAGTTTAAAATTAAAATAATAAATGTAAGTTTACAATAAAGGTAAGTAGATTAATAATTAATTACCAATTTAAATTACTTACTTTTTTACTTATTTGCAATTTAAATTAATCACGATAGTATTACTATTATTTCTTTATAATCTCGTTTGGGAAGTTCTTAATACATATTATTATTAAAAAAGGAACGCTATTAATACTGAATTATTAACATGAATTTAAATTACTTATCTTTTACTCATTTCCAATCTAAATTAATGACGTTAGTATTATTATTACCAATTTAAATTACTTACTTTTTTACTTATTTCCAATACTTACCTTTTACTTATTTCCAATTTTAATTAATCACGTTAGTATTATTATTACCAATTTAAATTACTTACCTTTTTAATTATTTCCAATTTAAATTAATCACGTTTATTCTTTCTTTATAATCACCTCGTTTGACAACTTTTTAATACTTATTATTAAAAAAGGAACTCTATTAAAACTAAATTATTATTACAAATTTAAATTACTTACCTTTTACCCATTTCCAATTTAAATTAATGACGTTAGTATTATTATTATCAATTTAAATTACTTACCTTTTTACTTATTTCCAATAATTACCTTTTACTTATTTCTAATTTAAATTAATCACGTTAGTATTATTATTACCAATTTAAATTACTTATCTTTTTACTTATTTCCAATTTAAATTAATCACGTTAGTATAGTTGCAATTGAGTTGGCGGAATATTACCATTTTTGGTTGGCAGAATATTATTTCCAATAAATGTTAGTTTACAATAAACATAATATAATTGCAATCAATTTCCATAATTAGGTTGGCAGAATATTATTTCTTAAAATGGAACTGTAATTATACCAAATTATTTGCCTAATTATTTATTATTCTTTAACTGTGGAATATAAATTGTAATTGACTCATTACCATTTTAATTGACTAATTACCATTTTAAGTAAACAATTACCATTTTTTATTACAATACCAAATGGGCGGGAAAACAATCTCACGGATCCATGACTTTTTAAATAAAGTATGGATGTCCTAGAATTGGAAACAAAATATGAAAAATCATCTACAATTAAAGACCATTTACTGAATTTACTTTTAAGATTATATTTTTACTTCTCTCTTTGTACTATAATATTATTTATCTATTAATATAATAATCATTATCATATTGAATATTGGTGTGTTAGTCAATAATCTCATTTTTTAAATGTTATATAGCTAGTGATGTTAAAAAAGTAAAGTATAGAATAACTAAAATCGTATTAGAAAGGAATTCCTAAATCGTCGGGTTTAAATTTCTTAAATTACATTAGGCGAGATTTATTAAAATTATCGAGTAAAAATTATGAAAATTACATAACGCAAGAAATTATATATAAATTTATTTTTTTCTAACTTGGTAAACTGTAAAATTAGCTTTAAGTAAGGCAAAAACTTAGGTTTAATCATAATTAAAACTTATATTTTAATTAAACCATCATCGTATATGTAAATTAGCTTTAATTATGGGAAAAGTATAAAATTTTAATACGGGAACTAGGAGATAAAATTCACAATGTATAATTGTTTTTTACTAAAGTCATAAAATGAGTAATTATGACTAATTAAAATGTAACAACAAAAAGTAATTACCAGTACACACTCTAAGAATTACATGGCATATTGACCTGTCAAAAATGGCCAAATGTGTTGTTCACTTGTCGAATTCTCATGAAACAAATCTCAAATATTATAATAAAAAATTCTAAAAATTTGTTATAAATAAAAATGAAAACATAGAACTTGGAAAGAATATGATAATAAAAAGGAATATTTTTCCCATATTTTCATTTACTCAAACATTTCTTACCAAACTTTTAATTTTATATTCTGGATATAAAAAATTATGTGACATATTAGGCGTTAAAAAAGGCAACACAAAAAAGATTTTCTTTTCTTTTTATTCAATTCATAAATTAGGTTGCATAAAAATGACACATAAGTAATGATACATGTCAACTATTAGTAATGCCATAAATACCTCCTCCCCATGTACGTATAAATACCCCGATATGTGATGAATAAAGAACTCAGTTCACCACTAGAGATGACAATTCTACCCGACTCTGACTTTTACCGACCCGACCAGAGCTTGTAATATCCGAATCCGAATAGAAAAATCAAATATCCAAAACCGACCCAAAAAAAATTTAAACCAAACCCGACTTTTGTCGGGTCGGGTTTGGGTTAGTATATTTGACCGACCCGACCTGTACCGACAAGACCCGACATGTACCTGACTTTTAATAAGTTATTAAAAACCTAAATTTCTATATTCCATGTATTTTTGATGTACATATTTTTAATGTTTTAAAATTTATTGCACTTTTTGCGTTTCATTTTTATTATGGTTTAAACCCGAAATTGAACGTAACTGATCCGACCAATTCTTGAACCGAATCCGAAATAGAAAAAATAAATATCCGAAACCGACACGCCAAAATCAAACCCGAACCCAACCTAAGTCGGGCCAGGTTTCAATACTCAAAATCCGACCGGGTTGGCATCCCTATTCACCACCACGTTATTCCCTTACAAACCCTAAGGGGGCGTTTGGTTAGGGGGTAAGGGAATCGGGAAAGGGAATGAGATTCCCTAATTCCGTTTGTCGTTGTTTGTTTAAAAAAAATACTCCCTCCGTCCATCTAAGATCTTTCCATTGCGCGTTACGAGACTTGACCGACTTTATTTTCAATTCAATTTAATTGGTTATAGGAGTAAAATTTAAAAATAAAATTTATATAGTAATAAACTACATGAAAAGTTCTACAAAACTAGAGGTGACAAGACTATATTATTTTACGAAACTACTAGTAAAAATAAGCAAATAAAGTAAGTAAAATTTGACCATGTAAATAGTGTCCGGGAAGATCGGGGAGGAGTATCATTCCTTTTCCCCATTTTAAGGGTTTTGGATTACCCCAATTTAGGTTTTTCCATTCCAGATGTCCGGTTTCCATTCCCATTCCCCAACCCTTCCATTTTCCTCCGCTTTCTTCCTCACCGCTCCACAATCGTTTCTTCCCCAACCATTTCTTCCTCGCCGCTACACACCTGACGCCACACACCTCGCCGCTGCAACTCCAGGTATGTTCTCTTTCACACTGCCGCGATCCACCTTGCAGCTTATCTCCTTCTTTCATCGTGCACCCATTCCCTTTCACTCTTCCAATTCCAAAGCCAATCGGGTCATTTTTCGCTGAATGGACTGTGGCCTCTTCGTGTGCACCACCGCCTCCTCAACTCCCCCAAGCCCCGTAGCCCNTTCCCATTCCCCAACCCTTCCATTTTCCTCCGCTTTCTGCCTCACCGCTCCACAATCGTTTCTTCCCCAACCATTTCTTCCTCGCCGCTACACACCTGACGCCACACACCTCGCCGCTGCAACTCCAGGTATGTTCTCTTTCACACTGCCGCGATCCACCTTGCAGCTTATCTCCTTCTTTCATCGTGCACCCATTCCCTTTCACTCTTCCAATTCCAAAGCCAATCGGGTCATTTTTCGCTGAATGGACTGTGGCCTCTTCGTGTGCACCACCGCCTCCTCAACTCCCCCAAGCCCCGTAGCCCAACCCTAATTTTTTCTGCACCGATCGGAGATGAAGAAAGAAGATACAGTGGAGCTAATCAGCGCCGAGGGTCTTGAATTCGTGATCGATAAGGAGGCGGCTATGGTTTCTCAGACCATCCATAACATGCTTACTTCTCTTGGGGGTTTCACCGAGACAGATCACAGAGAAGTGACTTTTCTTGAGATTAGTACCACCATCCTCGAGAAGATATGCCAGTACATCTATTAGCACTTTCAATTCACAAGGGAGGAAGGAGACCGAGTTTCCTATAGAGCCCGAACTCACATTGGAATTGATGATGGCAACTAATTATTTGCACACCTGAAAACTCTGTCAGCAACCTAACAGGGATGGTTTCATAGAGCACCCATCTTTAACGCCATCCAGGTTCTATATTTTCTACCTCTTTTATGTTTATTGCCTGCATAATTGAAATCCTTACTCATGGTAAATTAACTAATTTTCTTTCATAAGCTACAAAGATTTAATTTAAATAGGACATTTAAATGCTCTGTCTTGTTCTTACATAACCTGTTTGGGATTTTGATCTTCTTACTGGAAATGTTAGTTGCTACATGTCCCCTATTTCAACATAAAGTTATCATTATAGTTTTGAACAATATCATGTTGTGCCAATTTATATATACTTTGTATAAAATATCATTCCTTATGATGGTGGCCTGGAGTAGATCATTTGGTAGCTAGAGTTGTGAAATTATTTACAGTTCATTATTAGAACTGTTATCAAATTATATCATTGTCCTATTGTTTGGTTTATGGTTAGGGGAGAAGTCATGCACTAAGTGTTCATCATCATCTCTATGAAACTTTGCATCTATAGAGTATTTTGAATGTTTGATATCTTTATGGCACCAACTTTCTTGTTATGTGCATTCCTATCACCATTAGTATTCTCCAAAGTATGGAATATTCGAGAATGTGAACTCACTGAAGGATCTAGCAGAAATGCCACATTGGACACCTGAGAGACCCTTTAGAGTAGCTACAGGTTTCACATATGCATGGTGTACTGCAATGTGACATATCCATCTTCTTTTTCCCACATACAGAGTATATATTATTGTGGTCACAATTATTATGTTTAAGTTTGGTGATATTTTTCCCTTAACATCCTTCATTTCTTTCACAGATGGGGCCCAAGTTTATGAATGAAAAAGGACTAAATCATGTTACCTTTTCAACTCCAGATGGAGCACTGAAGGCTACTCCAGATGTAATACCAAATTAACCTATTTTAAACAGATTCAGTTTTCTCAAGTCCCGTCTTATTGAGATTGACTGTTAGTTTTCTTAAGTCCAGTGTCATTAAGATTGACTGTTTGTATTGTACTACGTATATAAATGAAATACTTCTTCTCTTTTTCACAAATCGATTACTGCTCTTGATGTTAAGACTCGCCTGAGAGCCATGTTTGGTTTTCCTATATTTGTTGCATAAAAGAAATTTGTCGTTCTATTTTAGATGTTATGGTTTGCTCTTTGAAATTTATCACATTTGTTCTTTTCCCGCATTTCTTTTGGTGATCTTCAAATACAATTGCACTTTCAATTTCTTTTGAGTATGTAAAAGTTTTTTTTAACCTATCATGGTTCCCTAATGTATGGGACAACACTGGGTAGGTTGTTGTTGCTGTTATCATTTCCTCATTTCTTCCTAATATAGATAGGGATAGTCGATGCAATTGTTGACCTTGTGAGCAGTGGAACAACTTTGGGAGAGAACAATCTGAAAGAGATTGCAGGTGGAGTCATCTAGCAAATTCAGGTAATTTTTCAGCCTCTAATGCTAATGGGTTTTTGTGTTCTACTAATGTCAATGTGGAGTGTTTATTACTCAAAAAGTTATGGATTGAGACTAAATTTACTAGGGAAGAGAAAAGGTTTTGAAAAATATGTATACACTATTGATAATATTTCATGTGTGTGAATGTTAGAAATAGATATTCACAGGCCATCACGTTTGGGTAACAAATGTTCCTGACTATCGTTTGCAAAACCCTTTAAGAGGAGAGATCACCCAGTATTCACACAGTATTCAAAAGTGCACCAAAAAGTGCTTCCAAAAGTTTTGGTTTTGAAGATGAGAGATCACCCAGTATTCAAAATAAAATACTCCAAAAAGAGACAAACAAGATTTGTACTGTTGAATTGAATACCCTTGTGAAACATGAAAGAGAGGAAGATATACTTCATGACCAGGGAGCTGTTTCAAATGGGTTTGCTCATCTTCTTGGAAGTATAGAGATTATAGGCAAGCTGCTAGGTGAATCTAGTATTGAAAACAAAATGGCCTTTGAGAAATCTGTTGAGCAAAACATCTTGTAGAATCTCTTTGGAAACATTGAAAAGAACTTCCATAATATTGGAGAAATAAATATTTTAAAAAGGAAGAAGTCTGATAAGTTTGAAGGATCTAGGGCTAAGGGAGAATTGATAAAAGAGCTTGGAGAAGATTGTTGCTTGGGACTTGATAAACTTTTTAGAGAAAATGATTTTATTGTGTTTTCTAAACATGCTGAAAAAGATGAGCAGTTAGTTTTTGAAGAAATCCAACAAGCTCAATATGCCAAGGAAAATACAGTAACGAAGGAGCACCAGATTGAACAACCTGGGTTTTAACTAAGTGTGGGGGAGAATAAATTAATTCTTATTCCATACAGCACACCCCAGTTTCTTTGAATCCTGAGATGATTTCTATTCCTTATTCTTTAAAGAGCTTCATTTTTGGAAAGGAAATGTTTGGTCGTAAGGATTGTATGAGTGGTATTTTTATGTTTCTAAATGATGAATCCACAAATAAATCTTTGGTTTGGAGGAAATCAAGGCTGCAAACTGACCATGAACACTTGTTTATTGTTAAGACATTTTCAAATGATTTTGTTTTCAAAAGGACTAAGTTTTCCATCTTTGAAGAATCTGCTGTAACACGAAATTTTGTTCCCTCGATTGAACTCAAAATTATTTCAACAAGAATTAGAGAAGCAACTTGATTTGATGCACAGATTTAAACCCTTTTCCTAATGATTAAAAGGGACACACTATCACTTTATTTGCTTTTGATAAAGCTGCCCTTTTAGAAAATGCAATGATTAAAGATTTTTTGGCTATTGAGCTTAATAGTATGAATATGAGGATTAAAGACTGTGAGGTCATGGACTTCAAATTCTGTTTTTAAGCTCAAACTAAAGAGAAGTTTTTTTTTCAAAAAATTCTAAAGGACAAACTTCATTTGAGATAGAACTTGATCCTTTTCCAAAAATTAAAGATTATAGTCTAAAATCATAGGAAATTTTATTTTTTGTTAATTAAACTACAAGAGCCCACCAACATGCTTTAAGAAATGAAAATCATGTGTGGCACATAGTTATGAATGGCGAGCGCCGTATTCGCCTATGGCGGTTATGGCGCTGTGGCGAGGCTGTAACGACTGGATTAGGCTGTGCATGGCGATGTCCTTGAGGCAATGAAAGGCGTTTGCCATTCTCGCAGCGTCTTATGGAGTTTGGTGAGTGCAATTATCGCCATACAGATATGTGCAACTTTTTTTCGCTGTTGAGCCTTAAGAATTGAATGGATTAATGAAACTGGGCTTAAGCCTGTTTGTAATTAAATGATTTGATCGTTGCCTTGAGTCAATTTATCCATTACCTTAATCGATTGTATTCCCTTCCCCTCTTCCGTCTTCTTCCCCTATCCTCTCTTCCAATCAACCATCGGTTGAGCTTCCCAGCTTCGACTCTGCTCCCACTCTCCGAAGTCGCAGGTTCATAGCGTCTCTCCTACTCAGAGTAGCAACTTTCGAGCGCCCCTCCTTGGTCAGCGACTCAGTGCTCTCAGTGCTGCCGCATCAGGTCACTTAGGAATTATTCTTAATTTTTTAATTTGAGTATTATTTAATTAATTAATATTAATAGTTTTTATTTCTTTAGTCTAATAGTTACCATTATATTTTCAATTTGTGTATTAATCTTTAAATTTACTGTTGAAGACTTTTTTATACGCCCTGCATTTTATATATATATATATATATATATATATCTTTCTATACATATAATTGTGAAACCTAGTTAGGTACCCTTTATATTTGTGCACCTTTTCCATCTATAAAAGTTGTACATTGTGCATTGGAGATTGGAGCGGGTACACCTTTAAATATTTCCATTCTTGCCATTACGTCGTTGCTGGCCATAAACACACAATTTTGCTCCAGAATTGATTCTCCTCTTTCTATATTAATACCCCCTTAAATGCGTACTCATTTAACGCCTTTAATTTACTTTCTTTTTACTAATAACGCATGCACAGTTTCATATGTGTGTATTGGAATTGGAGAGATTTCACCCTATCTCCGGCGAGATGGATTTCAGGTGATTCTCCAAAATTTGCGCTAGCTCCCCCAAATATGCGAAGTCATAAATTTTTCTCCTGTTCAGTATTGTTGCGATCTGCAATGGATGTGGTTATTATATCAGATGTCTTCCTCCTTGCCGCAGCTCCTTGTCCCAGACTGGCATACTGTGAAGCTGAGATTGCACTAAATTAGCACATCTGCTTGCAGGTCTGTGAATGTTTGAATATCATTTTTATAGCCTTTTCCTGAATTTCATTAAGCTTTTCCATGCTGTAAATCCAGCATACTCACATATTATTAGGGTTTAGCAATCATGCTGCTGTGTTCTTCAGTAGTCATTATTCCTTTAAACTGATTTTTAAGATATTGTGTTAAAAATTATTGTATTCTGTCCTGGCAGTCAGTATGAGTATAAGTTTAAAAATTAGAGGAATTTATACTTGAAACATTCAACCATTTCTCAAAATTTTAGGCTCCCAACTTTGAAGTAATAACTTATTTATTGAATAAAAAAATTTACCAAGCTTCACGTGGTCAGCACCATAACCTATTTTCTTATCATTTAATGATTTTTTTTTTTAAAATAACCCAGCTTTTTAAATCTATAGGAGTTATCTGTGAGGCTGGCTTAATAGCTCTAGGCTCAATCTCTATCACTTAAATTATTAGATTACATATAAAGGGCCAGTTCCCCATTCGTAAAATTGACGGTATCTATCCCCCTAATCCTCCCCCTAGTAAACCTCCCCACCCCCTTCAAAGTCAAAATTAATTTGGGGTTGCAATTGAAGGGGGTAGAGGTGTGTTCGGGTCGGGGCAGGGTGAGAGGGTTTACTGGTCAGAAGAGGTAGGAATCGACAATTTTATGAACGGGGAACTGGCTGGGTCATTCCATGACGTGATTCCCAATGTCATGGGAACCAACCGAGTTAGGGGGTTAGAGAGTGTAATTTAATATTTCCATCATCACCTTAATCTCAACTTTGTTTTGAATGTGGCTTTAGTGTCATACGAGGAAGTATTGACTATTGTGCATAGGTTTTGTTCATCTTTTATTTTTTAAATGTGCTTTTTATTGTTGTTTTCATAAGGGAAGCAAATAACTTTCACACACTTTGGGTTGACAAACTAACTTAGCACATCTCCTTCAAGGTATGTGAAATGTTTGAATACCATTTTTTTGTTCTTCCTGAATTTAAATAAGCTTTATCATGCTATGAATTCAGCATCATGTCGTGCTATTAGGGTTTAACAATCATGTTCTTTAGTAGACAACTTTTTTTTAAATTAATTTTTAAAAAATTTGATTGTGTTTAAAAGTATTTTATTATGCCATGGAAGTCAATATTAGTATAATTTTAAAAATTATATGAATTTATAGTTCCAATAATCATCCATATGTATGAAATCCACAAGAATAAGGCAATCAATTTCTGTCAGAGTGAATTATAGAATTGTTTTTGTATATTCCTACAGTCTCAGACAACCATTACCATAGGTAAACCATGGGTTTGGGCGTAGACTACCCTTTTGAAGGAATCGTCTCATTCCCATTTTCCCTTTTCAATTTGAATAGAAAAAGTCAAATTGAAATCTGAATATGAAGGTTATGAACATGTATTTCAACAGTCACTTAACATGTTCTCTCATGACATTAAAAAACCCTGGTAATTTCTCTTATCATAATCTTTTCATGAACACTCAATAATGTTGTGTGTTTCTGGTAATACAATTCTACACTTAATTTGTTTTTCACTTATTTCAGCATTTCCCTAGTCCAGATGTTCGAAGCTGTACAACAGGTCCTTGGCGTCCCATTTGGATCGTACTTTGAGGTGCGTGCTATGCTTGTTTTTAATCTCTATTTGTGTATTTGCTTAAAATTACATATTCTTTTGAGTTATTGTGGTTTACTAGCATCTAACTTTCATGGTTGTGCTTTGAGAACTGAAAATTCTCAAAATCAAGACAACAAGAATTTACAATTCAAAATGAAATACATTTGGCCA